TCATTGGTGGGGCCCAGGTTCATGCTCACTGGAACAGACACATATTCTAGATGTGGATTTGCCTTCCCTGCCCTTCATCCTTCTGCCAGCATCACCATCTGTGTACTCATGGAATGCCTCATCCATTTGTATGGCATTTGCACAGCCTGGTGTGTGACCAAATAACTCATTTCACAGCAAAGGAAGAGAAGCAGAGGGCTCAGGTTCACAAAATTCACTGGCCTTATCATACACCCCATTCCTGGTACCAATTTTAAAACATTTCATCCTCATCACCACCCGCTTCCACCGCTGAGCTAACATAATCCATGCCTCACACTTTCATTAATAGCTTTATTTCTTCCTAGGTCCACAGCAACTTTACAGAGTAAGGAAAGACAGAGGAATTGGGGCCTTCTCCATGCAGGTCTCTGCCCAGCCCAGGGCCAGGAAACCTTGCATCCCAAGAAACAAGCTACTTGGAATCACAGCATGTCTGATGAAAGGCCCTCCCAAGTCATTTAGTCCAGGCTCCCATTTTACAACTGGGGACAAAGGCCAAGAAAATGGAAGTGGGTCGCCGGGTGTGGTGGCTCATGCCTGTAATCCCAGCACTTTGGGAGGCCGAGGTGGGCGGATCACGAGGTCAGGAGATCGAGACCATCCCATCCCGGCTCACACAGTGAAACCCCGTCTCTACTAAAAATACAAAAAACTAGCTGGGCGTGATGGCGGGCGCCTGTAGTCCCAGCTACTCGGGAGGCTGAGGCAGGAGAATGGAGTGAACCCAGGAGGTGGAGCTTGCAGTGAGCCGAGATCGCGCCACTGCACTCCAGCCTGGGTGACAGAGCGAGACTCCGTCTCAAAAAAAAAAAAAAAGAAAAAAGAAAATGGAAGTGGCTTGCCCAGAGGCCCATGGTGAGAGAGTGACAGCCCTGTCCTCTCTAGCTCCCCACCCTCTCTTGGGAGCTTGGATTTGTGGGTTGGGCTACTCCAGAGAGAGCCCACAGGGCTGAGCATCCTGTCGTCCATCCCTGGGAGCAGGGCGGCCTGCTTGTCTCTTAGCTGGCATCCCTTCCCTCCCTTCTGGGGTCCTCCAGTCCCCTCCTACTCAGACACTCCACTCCTAGGCAGGGCCTCAAGATCACTCATCTCCTTGCAGTCAATCTCCCATCCTTGGCAGCCTCACTTCCTGGGCTTACACTGTACCCTGCCCCCCGCCAGCACTGGCTCCAATCTTCACTGTTTCTTTACTCACCCCCTAACCCTCCTCACCCCCAAAGCATCAGAAAGCCCCTGGCTGGGCTGAGCTACACCCACCCACATTGGGATGACATCTTCCAGCTCTTGTCCCTTCTGGGATAACCAGGGGTTACCCCATGGAAGAACACACCACAGGGAACTAGTTACCCACCAAGTTTGCAAGGGGGCTCCAGCTCCCACTGATGGAAAGCTAGGATGTGGGTATTAGTGGGGAAGCAGAACTATGTTCTAGGTGGGGGACAAGCGTGAACAAGGATCTGCATCTGGTTGGAGTGTGTATGTTGAGGGGTGACTAGGTCCTCACCTAGTCACCTGGGGTGAGGGGTAGGGAGAAAGTGGGGATGGGGCAGGCAGAACATGGAGCCAAAGACCTGGCTGATTACAGGGTGCATCCTTGCAACCCTGTTGTTGGGGCTGACAGATGGGCTGGAACAGTCACAGAATTGGAGAAGCAAGCCTCTCCACAGGCACCACAGGGGTTCCACGGTGCATTTTGTAGCTTATGAAGAGTGATTTCATACATATGAAAGAACGTTAGTGGCCGGGCGCGGTGGCTCATGCCTGTAATCCCAGCACTTTGGGAGGCCGAGGCGGGTGGATCACGAGGTCAAGAAATCGAGACCATCCTGGTCAACATGGTGAAACCCCGTCTCTATTAAAAATATAAAAATTAGCTGGGCGTGGTGGTGGGCGCCTGTAGTCCCAGCTACTCGGGAGGCTGAGGCAGGAGAATCGCTTGAACCCGGGAGGTGGAGGTTGCATTTGAACGCCGAGTTCATGCCATTGCACTCTAGCCTGGGCAACAGAGCCAAGACGCCATCCAAAAAACAAAGACAGGCCGGGCGCGGTGGTCAAGCCTGTAATCCCAGCACTTTGGAAGCCCGAGACGGGGCGGATCATGAGGTCAGGAGATCAAGACCATCCTGGCTAACACAGTGAAACCCTGTCTCTCTACTAAATACAAAACTAGCCGGGCAAGGTGGCGGGCCCCTGTAGTCCCCAGCTACTCAGGAGGCTGAGGCAAGGAATGGCGTAAACCCGGGAGGCGGAGCTTGCAGTGACTGAGATCTGGCCAGTGCACTCAGCCTGTGGCGACAGAGCGAGACTCCGTCTCAAAAGAAAAAAAAAAAAAAAAAAAGTAACGTATCCAAGTAGTTGATCCCTTATCCTTGGCCGATACGTTCCAAGATCAGTGATGCCGAAACCTCAGGTAGTGCTGACACATACTGTGTTCTCTTCAATCTGATAACTCTGAGGCCTGTAAGTGACTAACAGGTGGTAACATTACAGCGTGGGAATTCACATCCAGTGGGATGAGAGGGAAGGGCAATAGATTTCATCACACTATTCAGAACGGCATGCAATTTAAACTTATGAATTGTTTGTGTCTGGAATTTTCCATTAATATTTTTTGGACCTTGGTTGGCTGAAGGTAACTAAAACCCTCAAGTAAAAGGAGACTACTATAAATGGATGGAACAGAAAGAAGGAATCTAGCTATGTGCAGTGACATGCCTATAATCGCAGCACTTTGGAAGGCTGAGGCAGGCAGATCGCCTTGAGTCCAGGAGTTCGAGACCGCCTGGGCAACATGGCGAAACCCTGTCTCTACAAAAAAAAAGAATTAGCTGGGTATGGTGGCACACCCCTGTGGTCTCAGCTACTTTGGTGGCTGAGGAGGGAGAATCCCTTAACCCTGGGAGGTGGAGGTTGCAATGAGCTGAGATGGCACCACTGCACTCCAGCCTGGATGACAGAGAGAGACCCTGTATCAAAAATAAACAAATACATAAATAATTTTTCAATGCTTAAACTTTTACTTTTCTTATTTATGTCTTTAATCTGTATGGAATTCATATTTTGTATATGATGTGTATGTAATAGGGGTCTAATTAGCTGGGCATGGTGGTGGGCGCCTGTAGTCCCAGCTACTCGGGAGTAGCTTTTCCTAATGGCTAATTGAATTTCTTAGCGCAATTTACCAAACAGTCCATGATACTGCCTCCTTCTATCTCCACAAACACAGTGCTTCCTCTGATGTACACCATCTTTAGATGTGTGGGTCAGTTTCTGGCCTATTTCATGTTCCATTTGTCTGTCTTTAGGCTGATACTGGGGGCTGTCGTATATTCCCATCTCACGCTTCTTCAGGAGCAACTTGGTCATCCCATATCAGTGTTCATACAGGTGTTCACTGTAAAATTATTTCAATTTTTCTGGAGAAAAAAGAGGTTGTGGCTCATCTGACCCTTGCCCTTATACCACCATACTTTTTTTTTTTTTTTTTTTTTGAAACAGAGTCTTGCTCTGTCGCCCGGGCTGGAGTGCAGTGGCACGATCTCAGCTCACTGTAAGCTCCACCTCCCGGGTTCACGCCTCAGCCTCCTGAGTAGCTGGGACTACAGGTGCCCCCCACCATACCCGGCTAATTTTTTGTATTTTTAGTAGAGACGGGGTTTTGCCTTGTTAGTCAGGATGGTCTCAATCTCCTGACCTTGTGATCCACCCACCTTGGCCTCCCAAAGTGCTGGGATTACAGGCGTGAGCCACCGCGCCCGGCCCACCATACAAATTTTTAAAGGCTCAGGTTTCAGACTGAGCCAGCTCCCAGCAGCCCCAACCCTTGGAGAAATGGACAGTAGTGAGTAGTTAGGACAGTAGTGGGACAGTAGTGAGTAGTTAGGACAGTAGTGGGACAGTAGTGAGTAGTTAGGACAGTAGTGGGACAGTAGTGAGTAGTTAGGACAGTAGTGGGACTTCCACATTCCAGTAGACATTTGAGTTATTTGCTGGGGGTGAGGCAGGGTTGATTTTACAAGGTCCTTATGTATGTATGTATTATATATGTATGCATGTATGTATGTTGAGACGGAGTTTCACTCTTGTTGCCCAGGCTGGAGTTCAATGGCCCGAAACTCCGCCTCCCGGGTTCAAGCGATTCTCTTGCTTCAGCCTTCTGAATAGCTGGGATTAGAGGCATGCACCACCACACCCGGCTAATTTTGTATTTTTAGTAGAGATGGGGGTTTCTCCATGTTGGTCAGGCTGGTCTCAAACTCCCGACCTCAGGTGATCTGCCTACCTCAGCCTCCCAAAGTGCTGGGATTACAGGCGTTAGCCACCGCGCCCGGCCTATCGTGCCCATTTCACAGATGAGGGAAGTGACCCAGCCTCTCGGTCCCACTGAGGCACTGGGTCCCTGCCTGCTTCATCTTGCCTTGCCCCCCAGCCCCTTTCCCCTGCCCCTCCATCTCTCCCGTCGGCTTCTCATGCCAGTCTCTGGTTCTCTGCCTCCTGCTGTTTAGTGGGGTCGAGACAGGGAGGACCGGGGAAGAAAGGGACGTGACTTGGCCCTGGCCACCCCGTGGGTCAGTGGGGCTGCCGCAGAATAAGGGCCTGCCACCAGGTCCCTTAGACATCCCTTGCTCCTGCCCTTCTCAGGCTCTGATCGTGTCTCTGCTCCCCCAGGTCGCCCTTTTCAACTATTTTCCTGTCTGCCCCGCTGACGCGTCCGCCGCCGGAACACCCCGCTGGCTGCGAGAACCTCCTCTCTCTGACTTCCCGCCTTCCTGCTGCGATCCCGGTTCCGCCCCTCTCCAGCACCCTCGGCCGCTAGCGCCTAAGCTCTCCGCGGCCACCAGGGGGCGCCCGCGGCCAAGTCTGGGCGCGGGAGACGCCAAGCGCCCACCCCGTTCCTCCTGGTGCCCCTCCCCGTCCGGCCGCGGCCCCGCCCCTCCCGGCGCCCCGCCCCGTCCGGCAGCGGCCTCTCTCCCTCCGATCCCCCCGCGCCCGGGACCCCTGGCCCCACTGTGCGCCAGCTCGTCGGGTCGGGCCATGGGCCCCGCCGCTCGCCCAGCGCTGAGATCGCCGCCGCCGCCTCCGCCGCCGCCCCCGTCGCCGCTGCTGCTGCTGCTGCCCCTGCTGCCGCTGTGGCTGGGCCTGGCGGGGCCCGGGGCCGCGGCGGACGGCAGCGAGCCGGCGGCCGGGGCGGGGCGGGGCGGAGCCCGCGCTGTGCGGGTGGACGTGAGACTGCCGCGCCAGGACGCTCTGGTCCTGGAGGGCGTCAGGATCGGCTCCGAAGCCGACCCGGCGCCCCTGCTGGGCGGTCGCCTGCTGCTGGTGAGCGCTGCTGAGCCATCTGGCCGCATCACTAAACCCCTCTCCCAACCCTCCCTAGAGACCCCGCACCCAGAAGCGACGTTCATCCTCCACCAAGCCCTGACAGTCCAGCGCCCCTCCCCAGGCTCCCCAGGCACCCAGCATTCAGGCTTCCCAAACCTGAGAGCCAGATGCTCTCCGAACTCTGGCCTTGCATCCACTGTGATGACCCCGGCTCCCTCCTCCCCAACACCCTGCCTCCCGCTGCTCATGGCCCCTTGCCACACAGATGGACATCGTGGATGCCGAGCAGGAGGCGCCGGTGGAAGGCTGGATTGCAGTGGCATACGTGGGCAAGGAGCAGGTGGCCCAGTTCCACCAGGAGAATAAGGGCAGTGGCCCGCAGGCCTATCCCAAGGCCCTGGTCCAGCAGGTGCAGGGGATGTCTAGGGGGGAGGGGCTGGAGGAAGGGATTCCAACGCATCTGCTAGAGCCAGGCCCTCCTTAGATGGGCCCTTAAGAGCTTGCAGAGAAGCCCTAGGCCTGGGTGGGTCAGGGCACCCCAGTTTGAAGAATGGAGTCAGTACGGCTTCGAAGCAGGGAGGTGAGAAGAGGCCAGAGAGAGGTTGGGAAGCTTGACCAGGCTCTGAGAGTATGGGATGCGGGGGGAGCTGCTGCTAGCAGCCACTGTGGGGACTGCCCTGCTAGGACCCGGGAAGGCACAGCGCATCTGGAAGGGAGGCAGGAGGAAGGAAGCAGTTTCCACCTTTGACTTCCAGGAGCTTATGGCTAGTCTGTCCAGAGTTTTGCTCACTGCAGGGCCAGGAACTAAGAGCAGCTGGGGCTGCAGGTGGTGAGACAGGTGTGCAGGCAGGGTATATGTTAGCCTCTTGCCTTCTATCCCTCTGCAGATGCGGCGGGCCCTCTTCCTGGGAGCCTCTGCCCTGCTTCTCCTCATCCTGAACCACAACGTGGTCCGAGAGGTAAATCAGACCAGGCGGTGAGGGTAAGCAAGCTGGGGAAAGGGAGACCCAGGCCTGCTGACTTCCTTGTCTCCCTGCAGCTGGACATATCCCAGCTTCTGCTTAGGCCAGTGATCGTCCTCCATTATTCCTCCAATGTCACCAAGCTGTTGGATGCACTGCTGCAGTGAGTTGGCATTTAGACTTCAAAGGACTGACCCTGGGTACAGAGAGCCCCTGGCTCTCCCATGGGCTGAGGGGGCTTGGGACCAAGGTCTTACCTGTTAGCTTTTTTTTTTTTTTTTTTGAGATGGAGTATCACTCTTGTTGCCCAGGCTGGAGTGCAATGGTGCAATCTCGGCTCACTGGAACCTCTGCTTTCCAGGTTCAAGTGATTCTCCTGCCTTAGCCTCTCAAGTAGCTAGGATCAGAGTCATGTGTCACCACACCCAACTAATTTTTTGTATTTTTAGTAGGGACAGGGTTTCACCACGTTGACCAGGCTGGTCTTAAACACCTGACCTCAGGTCCACCTGCCTCGGCCTCCCAAAGTGCTGGGATTACAGGCGTGAGCCCCCGTTGCCACTACTGCTGCTGCTGCCCCTGCTGCCCCTGCTGCTGCTGTGACTGGGCCTGGTAGGGCCCGGCCTAACTGTTAGCTTTTTTTTTTTTGATGAAGTCTCGCTCTGTTGCCCAGGCTGGAGTGCGGTGGCGCGATCTCAGCTCACTGCAAGCTCCGCCTCCTGGATTCACGCCATTCTCCTGCCTCAGCCTCCCAAGTAGTTGGGACTATAGGTGCCCACCACGATGCCTGGCTAATTTGTTTGTATTTTTAGTAGAGACAGGGTTTCACCGTGTTAGCCAGGATGGTCTCGATCTGCCGACCTCGTGATCCGCCTGTCTTGGTCTCCCAAAGTGCTGGGATTACAGGCGTGAGCCACCGCGCCTGGCCAACTGTTAGCTTTAAGACTGCCCTTTCGGCTGGGAATGGTGTTTCATGCCTGTAATCCCAGCACTTTGGTAAGCCGAGGAAGGAGTATTACTTGAGTCCAGGAGTTTGATACCAGCCGGGGCAACATGGCAAGACTCAGTCTCTACAAAAAAAAATACAAAAATTAGCTGAGTGTGGTGACACATGCCTGTAGTCCCAGCTAATCAGGAGGCTGAAGTGGGAGGATCACTTGAGCCCTGGGGGTAGAGGCTGCAGTGAAATGTGACTGTGCCACTGCACTCCAGCCTGGGTGACAAAGGGAGACCCTGTCTCAAAAACAAACAAACAAACAAAAAAGACTGCCCTTTCTCAGGCTGAAAACTGGGTGAGGGCATGGGAAGGAGGTGCCAGAGCCTGGAGCTTGGAGCAAGGTGGTGGCTCTGTGGGCAGAGGGGACTGGCCCCAGCAAGGAGGAAGGTGGACTCCCTGGGCTTGCAGGCTTCCCTGGCCTGGCTGGTGTGAAAACTGGAAAAACCAATAGAGAGAAAAGGCCTGGGGTAAAGTGGAAGGCCAACAGGGGCGATAGTCATAGGTACCCTTTTCCTGCAGAGCTGGGATTGGGTGGGTCTGGGCCTCTCTTTCCAAGAGTCCTTCCATCTGGCCCTCCCAGGAGGACCCAGGCCACAGCTGAGATCACCAGCGGAGAGTCCCTGTCTGCCAATATTGAGTGGAAGCTGACCTTATGGACCACCTGTGGCCTCTCCAAGGATGGCTATGGAGGATGGCAGGACTTGGTCTGCCTGGGAGGCAGTCGTGCCCAGGAGCAGGTGGGTGCTAGCAGATGACATGGGGCCTAGGGAAAGGAGGCTCATGGGGCCACATACATGGCCTTGTCTTGCAAATCCTGTGGCTTCTCCCTACCGTGGTGGCAAGGACGGCCTGTCCCACCCCACAGGAGTGCTGTGAGTGTTCAGAGACATGGTGCAGGTGGGCGCTCAGTGGGGTGCCTGGGCCAGGTCACGTGCAGTCAGTGTTAGCTGCTGTCCTCACGTTCTGCAGGCATTGGGAAGCCTTATTTTACTGTCTGTAGAATAAAGTTCAGACCCCTTCGCGTGGCTTTCACAGCTCTCTGCATCACTCACTCACTCTGGTTTTCTAGTCCTTTTTCCTATGCTCCGGCCACCCTATACCAATGACTACACATGCCCTGGCCTTCTGCCACTGGGCCTTGTCTACGCCTGGCTGTAGACGTGGACACCTTTTCTCTCTGTGTCCACACGTCCTAGTCTAGCTAGAACCTTCACAACTCATCCTGCCACCGTTCTTTGGAAAGCCTCGCTCACAGCCCAGCTTGAAGTCCCCTCTCTCCCTCTTGTATCACAGCAAGGCATGGTCAGGCTGTTCCTGGGCTTCTTGGGACAGCCCATCCTGCATGTGATGCGGGTGCGCCACTTTGTCTCCTGACAGCCAGAACTGTGTTTTATCGTCTCTGGATTTCCAGCGCTTGGCATCGGGGCATTCAAGGGTATTCTGTCCACAAGCATTTCTTGAGTCCCTGGACTGCTGGGCAGTCATCTCCCAGTCTCCTAGTGTACAGCCTCCAGCAAGTGTTGGCCACCGTGGGCTGTGCAGGGCAACTTCCAGTGGGGCAATCTTGGGATCGAATCCTGGCTCGGAAACATTAGCTGACTGATCTCAGGCTGGGAGTTTCACCTCTCTGGCCTCGGGTTCCTCATTTGTGAACAGGGATGGTATTCTGTGTATCCCTGTCATGGGTAGCCCACACAGGCCTCTGGACAGGTCAGGCATTGGTGAGAGGCCTGGCGTGGGGCTGTGCGCAGTCTGCAGGTCGGTCTGGCTGCTCCAGAGGGCAGAGCTGAGCAGCCTTGGCCAGGCTGCAGGCCGAGGTCAAGGTGGTCCCAACCCAATTATTGGGTGGCCATGGCCGCTGAGGTGTCTGACAGGTGGCTGGAGTAGGCATCTCAGTGGCTGGCCTGATGGGCGTTGGGCTCTCAGTCCTGACCCCAGGGCCCAGTCACCATCCCTCCAGCCTCTGGGAGTCCAGAGCAGCAACACTCATGTATCAGGAAGGTCTGATGAACAGCAATGACACGATCTTGGCTCACTGCAGCCTTGACCTCCTGGGCTCAGGTGACACTCCCACCTCAGCCCCCCAAGTAGCTGGAACTACAGGCACATGCCACCATGTCTAGCTAATTTTTGTATTTTTTGTAGAGATGGGGTTTCGCTGTGTCGCCCAGGCTGGTCTCGAACTCCTGAGCTTAGGCAATCTGCCCACCTTGGCCTCCCAAAGTACTGAGATTACAGGTGTGAGCCACCATCCCTGGCTAATGAACCGTTCTTACTGCTCTTCCTGCCCTCCATCCTCACCTGGGGCTCTACAAGGTACATTCCCCAAGATGCACTGAACCTGGGGCACATAGGGCTCCCCAGGATGCAGTGAGCCTGGGGAGGCTGGGTCTCTGGCCTGCAGCAGAGCTTCAGGCTGGCCACACCTTCAGCCCAGCCAGCTGGCTGCTCTGAGGCATGGAGCTCTAGAGCAGGCTCTGCCCTGGAGAACTTACGCCATAATGGCCACTCAGTCCTGGCATGGGGCTCAGGAGTGTCACTTTGTCTCCTGACAGCCAGGGCTATGTTTTATCATCTCTGGATTTCCAACACTTGGCATCAAGGGCATTCAAGGGTATTCTGTCCGCAAGCTTTTTTTTTTTTTTTTAAAGACATCGGTTCTCCCTTGCTGCCTAGGCTGGAGTGCAATGGTGCGATCTTGGCTCACTGCAACCTCTGCCTCCTGGGTTCAAGCAACTCTCCTACTTCAGCCTCCCAAGTAGCTGGGACTACAGTCCTGTGCCACCACACACCAGCTAATTTTTTGTATTTTTAGTAGAGACGGGGTTTCTCCATGTTCGTCAGGCTGGTCTTGAACTCTCGACTTCAGGTGATCTGCCCGCTTCGGCCTCCCACAGTGCTGGGATTACAGGCCTGCGAGCTACCGCGGCCGGCCCACAAGCATTTCTTGAGTTACTTCTCTGCCACACAGTGATGCCCCAGTCTCCTGGTATACAGCCCCCAGCAGGTGTTGGCCAACTGGGCTGCTCTAGCCCTGGGCTCATGGGGGCCCAGTCTGGAGAGGAGATAGGCCAGAGACATGCTGTCACTGCTGGGGTGAGCACAGAGCTGGTGGTAACCCCGGGACCCTCTAGGGCATGGTAAAGGCACTCAGCCTGGGGCTTGGGGACAGCTTCCTAGAACAGGTGGCACTGCCCAGCTGCAGCTGGAGGAGAGAAGAGGGCAGGATGGAGAGGGGAGTTGGGGCTCACAGACACTTCCCAGTGAGGGCCCCCAGAGCACCTCCACTCTGAGCAGAGCAATGGCCTGTGGCACTAGCAGCACCCAGGCTTGTCTAGAGCTGTGAGCTCTTCACATCAGGTCATTTCTCAGCCCCTCTTCCCCACATGACGGTGGATGAACTTCAGCATCGGTCAGGGAAGAACACGATGGCAGAGCAGCACTCAGCTGCAGAGAGCTTTGAAGTGAATGTGTGTATTAGTCCTAAGACATCCACAGACCCTGTGCAGAGGCGCACCTGAGGGAGCGTGCTGTGTTTTGCTTACTCCGCCGCACCATCTCGTGAGCCAGCTGTTGAGTAGTCAGAGCCCAGCAGCCACACCACAGCTGGGGCGAGTTGAGTCAAGATCCTTGTTGTTCCCTCAGTCACTCTGAGGCTGCCCAGGGACCTGAGGCCCCCAGGCTTTACAGTGTTCTCTCAGTCACATTTCCTTTCCAGATTCACTCATTCCACAAAGATGATGGGAGGTACTGGGTTAGAGTGGTGGCCACATCAGCTATGGTTACCTCCCACAGATAGGAGCACACAGACCCCCAAGGGCAGCTGCAAGAGAACGATGGGTAGAGCAGGTGTGAGGAGGGCGGGGCAGCCGGAGGTTAGGGGGCACATTCACCTGGCCGTAAGAGGTCAGGGAGCTTCTAGAGCAAGATGCAGTGGAGGCAGTAGCTGAGAAAAGGGATAAGGTGGAAGAGGGTTCCCAAGACAGGGAACAGTATGGAGAGGCACAGACACGGGAGGGAGCCAGGAGCACAGGACACTGAGAGGAGTCAGGTGGCACTACAGGGAAGGAGCTCAGGCAGGGGAGCTACGGGGCCTGGTGTGCAGGGGAGAACCCTCTGGCTGTGGGTGGGAAATGAGTGGCAAGGAGGGCATGAGAGACCACCCCCCAACCCAGGAGAACAAAGCAACAGGCCTTGGGGGCTGGCTCCCTCCCGTACTGGGGGGTGTGAACGTTCAGGCCGGATGGGTGAGTGGGTGATGGCAGGGCCTGAGAAAGCCGACCAGGAGGAAGTGCAGGAGGATGGGGGTGGGAGAGTGAGCAGGTCCCAGGGTGGGTGCTAGGTTGCTGGGTGCTGGGTTGGGGAGTCTCTGAGGCTACCAGATAGAAGCTTCTGTGTGTGCAAAACATCAGGTTTGTTGCCCAGAGAGCCCTGGGCTGGGAATGGATGTGGCTCTTCTTGAAGCTGGATGGGAAAACGTGTAGGGCAGAGTGAGTGATCCTGAGAAGCACACAGTGGGTGCTTCTCACTGTGTGAGAAGGGACGGAGCCTTCGGAAGAGGAAGCTGGGGACTGCAGGGACACAGAGGCCATCAGCACACCTCACCTGCCTGCTCCCTGGCGTTCCTGGGGGTAGATGTTCCTAAGGGAGGCGTGTGGGGACGGCCCCATGTCCCTGATGACTGCTTCCCTCCCCAGAAGCCCCTGCAGCAGCTGTGGAATGCCATCCTACTGGTGGCCATGCTCCTGTGCACAGGCCTCGTGGTCCAGGCCCAGCGGCAGGCATCGCGGCAGAGCCAGCGGGAGCTCGGAGGCCAGGTGAGAGCCAGCCCCAGGGAGCCCCAGATCCCTCAGCCCTTGGGCCTGCAAGACCGTGCCTGTCCTCTCCCCACAGGTGGACCTGTTTAAGCGCCGCGTGGTGCGGAGACTGGCATCCCTCAAGACACGGCGCTGCCGGCTGAGCAGGGCGGCGCAGGGCCTCCCAGAGCCGGGTGTTGAGACCTGTGCCGTGTGCCTGGACTACTTCTGCAACAAGCAGGCTAGTGCCCTGGGTAGAGACCAGCCATCAGCTCACCTGTGATGCCTCCCACCTTACTCCCAGGACCTTGGAACCACCCCCACCAGGCCCTTCTCCTTCAGCCCCCAGGGCTACAGAGCAGAATTTCAGTGGGGTGGGGGAAGCGGTGAGGTTTCAGTTCCCCAGCTGAGGCGAGGGGCGTGGGACCAGGCACCCCCATGTGGAGTCCTGCTTCAGTGGCCTGAGACCTTCCTCTCCCACCCCTGTAGTGGCTCCGGGTGCTGCCCTGTAAGCACGAGTTTCACCGAGACTGTGTGGACCCCTGGCTGATGCTCCAGCAGACCTGCCCACTGTGCAAATTCAACGTCCTGGGTGAGCACCAGGGGCAGGGGCCCTTGGCCTACTCTGCCTCCTCCTCACCTGATGCCTCCCTCCCTGTTCTTCTTCCTCTCCCTTGCAGGGAACCGCTACTCTGATGATTAGCTGCCCAGCTGGACTCTGCACGTGGGGATGGACCCTTCCTGCCTGCTCCCCGGTCCTCAGCCTGGGCTCCCAGGACAGGACAGGATGGGACAGCAGGATAGACAGGACAGCAAGCCCAGTGGGTGGGAGGAAGGATGAGGGCCCCACTGTGTCCATACTGGGAAGGGGGGCTCCACAGCTATAGGCTGAGGATCTAGGGCCGGGACCTGTCAGTCTAGGAAGAGGTCACTTTAGGACCTTCTCTGTAATCCTGTGACATGAGTCTGCCCTCCTCACAGGCAGCTCCCAGGTCAATAGGGAAGGAGCATATGGGGCCAGTGTAGCTGTTCCCAGGGTTCTGGGAGCTCCCTGTGGCCTGTCTGGGAATCCCTGGAGGCTGAGACTACAGTGGCCAGGTTTTGTGCTTATTTATTGGGGGGTGGGTTGAGGGAGGAGCTATCTGGCCTTGGGGTACCCTGGCCTGACTGTCTTTCAGGATACGTCTTGGTCAAGGCTGTCTGCCTGTTGCCCTTGGTCCTTGGGCACTGGGAGCCATAGGTCCCACTGCCTGTCCAGCCTGGCTCCCTTCCTGGGCCTGGCTAGGACCAGAGGCCTTAGATCCTGTTCTGGACTCCTTGGCTGTGGCTTTGTGTTGCCGACCGGGATACTCGAAGCCACAGGATCAATGTAGTGCCTCATCCGGGGCATCCATTTTTTTTTTTTTCAAAGAGTTGGGGTAGGGAAGGTTTAATAGTAAAATAAACGTGGCTATATTTTAACATAAGATGTAAAATGTGTATGGGTGTTTTAAGATTTTAAAAAGTTATCTTAGGTTCTACTGCCTGTGGTAGAGGGAATTCTGAGATGGCCCCCAAGATGTCCCACTGCCACCTGCCATAAACATGTCTTGCATTAATATAATCTCTGGAACTGTGACTCAAAGGGATTTTATTTATTTTTATTTTTTGAGATGGAGTTTCGCTCTTGTTGCTGAGGCTGGAGTGCAATGACACGATCTCAGCTCACTACAACCTCCGCCTCCCGGATTCAAGCGATTCTCCTGCCTCAGCCTCCCAAGTAGCTGGGATTACAGGCATGCGCCACCATGCCCAGCTAATTTTGTATTTTTAGTAGAGATGGGGTTTCTCCATGTTGGTCAGGCTGGTCTCGAACTCCCGACCTCAGGTGATCCACCTGCCTGGGCCTCCGAAAGTGCCGGGATTACAGACGTGAGCCACCACGCCCGGCTTCTTGGAGGGATTTTACGCCCATGGTAGGGTTGTCTTATGGCAAGCTGACCTGAAGATAGGGAAAGTATTTGAGTGAGCCTTGCCCTAACCACATGAGCCTATTCAAAGTAGTTTTCTGCTGGTAGAAGAGGAGGAAGTCAGGGATTTGAAGCATGTAGGGGATTCAGTGCATGAGAAATCCTCTGTTGCTGACTTGAAGATGGAGGGAGCCCCATGGTAAGTGGGCAGCCTCTAGGAGCTGAGAGAGGATCTGGCTTACGGCCAGCCAGCGAGGACACGGGGACCTCAGTCCCATGCCTGCAAGGATCAGAATTCTGCCAAGTGGAGCTCGGAAGCCAGTTCTTCCCCAGAACCGGCAGAAAGGAACGCAATCTGGTAGATGCCTCAATTTCAGCCCTCTGGGACCCCGAGCAAAAATAGCCACACAGAATCTGGACTTGTGACCTCTAGAACTGGGAGCTAATGAATACATGGCTGCGGAGTTGGTGAGGTCCTACCCCTGGACTTGGGCACAGGCCTCCTGGCTCAGGGTGCTGAGGGTTGGTGCTCCCCTGAGAGGGGGGTGCCCGGGGCACCCCAGCCTCCCTCAGGATCTCCCGGGCCCCTCAGAAGCAGGAAGTTGGGCTGACCAAGGCTGTGGTAGCTCAGCTATATACATGGCCCCTCTTGACCCTTCTCTCTGAACTGAAGCGCTCTGACAGCCTCTTCACCAAGGGAAAATGCTTCAGGCATCTGGGAGTGTGTACCCTGAGAAGGCCTCAGCAAGTTTTTGGAGACTGTCCTTCACAGGTGAAGTGGCTCAGGGCAGGCTGGTGGCTTCATGAGGAAAACCCCAGAGTCTTGGCCGCATGGCATTCTGGGCTGAAGAGACCCCCAAGGGACAGGGATGGGAAAGGCAGGGTGTCCTCTACTTGGGGGAGGCCTTGCCCTGCCTTCAGTGGCCTCCTGGGGCTATGACCTCCAGGATTTAGAGAAACCTTCATGACGGTCACCATTTCCTAAAGGCAAGGAGTTCCGCAGTGAAAGGAGGCGTGACCTCTTGGGTCCTTAATGTGGCCAGCACAGGTCCAGAACCAGGGTGGGAGGCTGAAGGTGTCGCTGCCCGCTGCCTGCTTCAGATGTCCTCACTGGCCCTTCCCCTGTCCACTTCCACCCGACCCCCTTCTGAGTCAGTGCAGGCCACTGAGCCCAGGTTCACCCCTCGTCCCTTGCTCTGGGGAAAGACGGCCCTTCACCTAGCCCAGGCCCTAGGGGCTTCCTCTGCCCTGGGTGTACTCTCCTATCCCACAGCCTCTGTCGGGAGGGAAGCAGGAAGGCCCCTTTTACTGAGGGCGCATAGTGCCAGGACTCTGCTGACTGACTGAACTGCATGGCTGGGGACTCAGTGGCCCCTGCCCAGGACGGGGAAGAAAGGGCTCTTTTCTTGGCTCAGTCATACTGTGAGGCCAAGACTGCTGTGGGCCAATGGCCGGGGCTTTATTACGGCAGGTGGGCTACCAGCCACCTGCCATCCAGCCTCAGCACTGCCACAGGCTACATGGGCCGCTCCTGGGGCTGGTGTGCAGAGCTGGCCTGTCCCCGGCCAGGTGACAGTCTCTTCCTCAGCCTGACCAAGGCCTTGATGGGGTTCTGGGTGCAGGTATCCAAGTGGGTCACACCCTCCAGCAAGGACTTGCTGGGCTGGCTGCAGGGCTGCCGAGGTGGGGATGCGCAGGGCTGCCGAGGTGGAGATGCGCAGGGCTGCTGCCGAGGTGGGGATGCGCAGGGCTGCTGCCGAGGTGGGGATGCGCAGGGCTGCTGCCGAGGTGGGGTTGCGCAGGGCTGCTGCCGAGGTGGGGATGCGCAGGGCTGCTGCCGAGGTGGGGATGCGCAGGGCTGGCCCAGCAGGGTCCTGCCCGTCTTGCTGCCAGGAAGGTGCTGTCTGCCCAAGGGCCTGAAGGAAAACCAGATCCAAGATCCCCTGTGAGTGCGGGGGATGCTCCACCCACCTGCCCCACCTCCGGTAAAGCCTCACTCACCCTGGGGATGTGCTCTGGGCCTGGACTGGCTGTGTTGCTCCCTGGGTTCCCTTGCTAGAAGGGGACCAGAGCCGGTCCCGCGGGATCAGCTACAAAAAAGAAAAAGCCAGTCTTAGAAGGGTTCAGGAGTCCCCTCCCCACTGTACAGAGAGGGTGTTGGAGCCAGGGATGGGGAGGGAAGGGCCAGGCGCATATCTACGGGCCCTTCCACCTAGGGGCGGGGCCTAGGAAGCCTTCCAGGGCCTATTCTCAGCTGCAGAGCCTCAGGCAGGCAGCAATTAAGGGGAGGTTTCTTTCTGACATGGCTTTTTTTTTTTTTTTTTTTTTTTTTGTAGAAACAGGGTCTCATATCATCCAGGCTGGTCTCAAACTCCTGGGTTCGAGTGATCTGCCTGCCTCTCAAATTGTTGGGATTACAGGCATGAGCTGCCACGCCCGACCCCTGACAAGGCTTCTTGTTGCACCTGAAGGCATGAATGGCTATAGAGGGGATATGGGACTGGAAGGCACTGGATCCGTAACATCCTCACGCCTTCTGGAAATGTGAAAAATGTTTCACAAAAGCACAGCCTAAGGCCTCATGTGATGAGGTGGGCTCTCCACAAGTTCCCCGGGCAGAGTCTGAAGACCTCTGCTGGGCAGAGGCTTCCTCCTGGTCTCCAAGGGCCCGCCCTCTCAGGCCCACCTTGAGGCCACCCTGCTGGGCCACTTCCCGGATTTTGGACAGCATTGATTGGAGCCGCCCGTTCTCCTCCTGCAGGACCTGGATGCGGATGTCGTTGGCCTGCACTTGCCTCTCCATGTGATCTGTGACGTTGCCAGAGTCTGTGGGACATGTTATCTGGGATTCCACGCTGCTGGATCTGCCTCCTGTGCCCAATGGGACAGGACCTTAGAAGGGAGGCACACCAGCTTGGGTGGGTGGCCCAGCAGGCGCAAGGGAGCTGTGTAGTGCACCAGGCCTCCCAGCTCATCTTGCTTCTCCAGAGGCCTTATTCCCCCTTCCCTCTCCCCTCACCTGCTGGGAAGATGACCATATTATAAAATCTGAGAGCTGGGTGGGACCTAGGGCTCTCAAAAGACTTAGCAAGGCCGGGCGCGGTGGCTCATGCCTGTTATACCAGCATTTTGGGAGGCCGAGGTGGGTGGATCACGAGGTCAAGAGATCGAGACCATCCTGGCCAACATGGTGAAAGCCCGTCTCTACTAAAAAATACAAACATTAGCTGGGGTGTGGTGGCAGGCGCCTGTAGTCCCAGCTACACAGGAGGCTGAGGCAGGAGAATCACTTGAACCCGGGAGGTGGAGGTTGCAGTGAGCTGAGATTGCACCACTGCACTCCAGCCTGGCGACAGACTGAGACTCCATCTCAAAAAAAAAAAAAAAAAAAGACTTAGCAAATAAGCAGGAGAGGAGAGTGAATCTCTCTGACAAGGCCCCCTGTTTTGGACAGGCTAGAGCCAAAGTGAGCTGTCCAAGGTCACCCGGCCAGCTCAAGCGTGGGAATGGCAAGGCTGCGCTTCCCCTGCTTTTGTGATGGATGCTTCCTTCTGGCTCCATGAGCCTGGGGGAATTGCTGCCCCTTCTGGTTCAGTTTCCTGCTTTGTAAAAAGGGGCTATGACCTGCCTCACAGGGTGGTTGAGAAGGGGACAGAAGGGCCTGGATGATGTCTCACGAGCAGCTAACTGCAGATCTTCCTGCCAGCTCTGCAAATGGATTTGCCCCAGCGCTTTAGGGGTCTGGAGAGGCTGGGAGAATCCAGGTCACCTGATATCCAGTCCTGTGCCAAGACGGGTACCTAGCACTCCTGTGCCATGGGGTCCAGGACAGTGGACAGCTGGGGGCTGTGTCCTTGGGACTAGTCCCATGGTGTGGTTTGGGGACCCATTCCAAGAACCAAGAAGGGGGACACAGAGAAGTCAAGCAAGAATTAGCATGTGATGTGGTAAAAAGCATGGTCTGTGGGGACAACCAGACCTGTGTCTGGGTTTGGCTGCTGTGGCTAGAGGCAGTCACATCACCGTTGGGCTTTCACATCCCTCTCTATGCAGAGTGGATGACGCATGAAGTGCTTGCGTGCTGTGGTGGGTCCACAGGGGCTGCACTGCTGGCCGCCCGGCTTTCCACCCTTGCTGCACGCTAGGGAACTGCAGTCCCCAGTGTCCTGGCCACATGAGCCCTCAGCTGCCGGCCCTGAGCCCCAGCATGCCCTTGGCACCATCCCCAGTCCCCTACCATGGATCTGGATGTGGGTCTCGGTGGGCTGGTGCAGGTCTGGGAAGGCCACCAGCAGCCGCTCCCGCTCCCTCAGCTCCACCAGCTCCCGCTCTAGCTCCAGGATGGTTAGCCGCAGGTCCGTAGTCGCCTGCTCCAGGCCTTGCTTCTCCCTCTGCAGGCTCTGCAGCAGCTCCTGGGGCAGGGGGAGGCTCAGGCCTGGCTCCTGAATGAGCCACATGGCACTAAGCGCCCCTGGGGCACCGTCCCTACCCCGAGACAAGACACGGGACAGGCCTGCAGGCACTCAGTTGGCCAGAGACTTCTCCAGCAAAAAGGAAGACCCCCACTCTCACCTGCTGGGCCCTGAGCTGGCATTGCCCCTGCTCCCGCTCACTCTGCAGCTGCTCCTCCACGTGGGCCCGCTGGGCCTCAGCCTCATCCAGGCTGCCCCGCAGCTCCTCACGTTCCTGGTCCAGGCTGTCCAGCTGCTTTAGCAGGGCTCGCTGCTTGGCCTGCAGAGACTAAGCAGGAACAGACAAGCAGGGAGGCTGTGAGACCCACAGGGCTAGGCCCAGCCATGTGGAACTAAGGAGGCTATGGCATCTACTACCCTCCCGCTGCTACCCCCTGGGGCGTGTGTGTCTAGGGAACATTGGTCACACACATGGAAGGGCAGGGATTGGGGGAAGCTGGCAGCAGGCAGATGCACACCAGACCTGGTCAAGGGCAGGACCCCAGCTTGAAGACCCTGGCCCTTGGAACGTTGTTGGCTGACTCTGGGGGTCTCACCCCCACTTCCAGTCACACGGAGACCCCACTTGGAGAGGAATTCTGGGAACTAAGTTTTTCTTCTCCTTGGGTCTCCAGTGTCACATCATCCCATGTCACTGAAGCCCACATTTCCTAACACCCACTGAATGGAAAGCAGGAAGAACTAATGCTAGACTGCTCAGAGTCCTGGCTCCATCTCTCACTAGCTATGTGGCCTTGGGCAACTTCCTTAACCTCAATAAGGCTCAGTTTCCTCATTCGTAAAATGGGGGTGACAATAGTATCTACCTCCTGTTGCTGTAGTGAGGAGTAAGCATCAGAGTCTGTGGCTCCTGAAGCCTGGGTCACAGCAGACACCTGATACATGGTGGCTGTGACAGTTTACAAGGCAGAGAACAGCACCCACTTGGGGTAGAAAGGCTTCCCCTACCCTGGGCCCATGTCTGACCCTGGGAACTCTCAACTGAACTCCTGGCTCCTTGCTGAGCTTTTGAGGGTGGACCCAGCCAGGACAGCCCCCAGACCTGCCCCTTTCACTGGGCAACACATCACCTACTCCCTTAACCACACTTCTGAGGACTCCTGTGAGGCTCCATTGCCCAGAGCACAGCTGTGGGCCCTGGCTCACCCTCTGCCCACCCTATCCTTCCCCTGGCTGATGGGCTAATTGCCTGTCACAGGCATCCAGCTCAAAGGCCACCTCCTCCTAGAAGCCATTCTGGATTCCCATGGCAGATGTGGCCATCCCTCCCTGCACCCCTTAGCCATTTGGCAGGAGAGTGTGGCACACCTGTTCATCTTTGCTTGTAGGGCACTCCTCCAGACTGAGGCCTCACTGGGCAGTATCCGTCCCTGGATCACTGTTCCCCCAGTGCCCGGCTCAGGGCAGACTCTCTGTAAAGGTGAGTCAACCCCCACACCTGGAGGTATCTCAGGGAGCAGGTACCCAATACAGATGAGCCCCCATTCCCTGACAGTGGAGCCCTCTCTCCCTGCAGCCTACATTGCAGGTGCCCAGGCTGGCAAGGGCCCCGGCCTCACCTCCTGGTGGCGGACCATGCTGTCAACACGGGCTTTCTCCTTATCCAGCTCCGTGCTGGCCCAGCAGATCTGCTGGCCAGCGCCCTCCAGCCGACCCACCAACAGCTGCACCTGCTCCTCCAGCTGCTGCACCTGCCTCTCTGCTGCCGCCCTGCGCTCGCCTTCCTCCTGCAGCTGCTGGGCCTTTGTCTCTGCAGCATTGAGTGGACGTGGGATGGTAGGACAGGGGAGCGCTGTACTACCTCAGACCCAGGACAGGTGCTCACATCCCATCTCTGGGCCTCAGAGTCCTCAGGAACAAAATGGGGCTCTAGACCTTGCCTGAGGTGGGTTTGGAAAATAGAAGGTGCTTTCTGGGTAGGAGGCGGCACCCCAGTTTGGTCATCGCCCAACAGTGTGGTTGGTCAGGCCCACCCTCCTGTGGCTGGTACCCTTCGTCTTCGCTCTGGATGCTCAGGGGACAGAGATGGACGATGCTCGTCCAGCCACACCCCTGGCTTGAGATGTGGCATCGGGGCCTATGACAGGGTTCCTTACCCATAGCCTGCGTGGACTCCTGCTGCTGTTTCAGTTCTCTCTCCAGGGTGGCCATCTTTGTCTTTAGGTCACTTGTTTCTATGGCAGCCAAGAGAGAGGCCCTTCAGAGGGTCCCATGGAGCTGGCCGGCGGCCTTCATGCCCAGTGTGCCCCATGGAGTGGAGGCAGCCCATCGCCTGCAGAGAGGCCGCCTGCGGTCATGGGAGGAGCTCTGGGGAGGTTGGTGGAGGCGGCTGGGCCCTTGTCCACCCTGCTTCTCATGTGCTGGCTGCCATGTGTCTACACCTCTCTGGGCCTTGATGTTGTCCATGGAGGCAACTGTGAGGCTCAGAAAGGGCAAATCCCTCCGGCCTCCCGTCAGTGAGCACTGACCAACTTCTGGTGCCAGGAACTACGTCTCCAATGGCTTTTGCCAAAACCAGAGAGGCTGCTCTGCTTGGCTGGAAGTGCCAGGGGAATAACTCTCTGGAAGTAGCCCTCAATGACTGACAGCGCAAGTGGATACATACCTCGGCTCCCTCCCTGACTGAGAGATGAGTCTGGGCAAGTGTCCTAGCCCAGTTCCCAGCCCCAGCGGGACTGCGATCACAGTGTCACCACCAGACGAACACACCCTTCCTTGCTGCCCTCCCTTCCCTGCCTCTTGCCTGTGTCCCAGCCTGGGTTCTTCCACACAAACCACTTGCCCTGGAAGTCCTGTCTCACAAACATCCATGCAAAGGCTGTGGCAGAGACCCTAGCACCAGGTGTCTGGCCTCTGGGGCACAGACCTGTGAGCAGCTGCTGTTTGTCACGCTCCCACTCGGACAGGCACTGCTCATCCTCCTCTGCCTGTCGCCGCCGCGCCCCCTGCTCCTGTTTCAGCGCCTGCTCCAGCTTGCCCGCCTGCTTCCTCAGGCCATCCTTCTGCCCCTCGGCCTCCTCCAGCTGGGCCCTGAGGGCCTCCACGTGCTTACTGAGGCGCTTCAGGTCTTTCCTTTGCTCTGCTGCCCAGCGGCCCACTGTTGCAGCCGGCAGTGGCCTGAGCCCCATGCTGTCCTGTACCAGTTGCTGGAACTGGCCTAAGGATGAAGGCAAGTTCTGGCTCTGACACAGGCTGATGACCGCCTTGCCCACCTTCTGCAGGCTTCCCTGGACGCTGGCGCATGCGTCACAGGGCACCAGGGCCGTCTCAATGGTCTGGGAGTAGACACTCCTGGTGTTCCTGGAGGTCGTGCCTGGGAACTGCAGGGAGGCTTTGACAGGGATGCTCTCTGGCTCTTGGCAGGTCTGGGGCAAGCCTGGCACTGGGGAGGAGGGCTTGATGAACTTGGCAGGCAGACATTCAGGGCTCCTGGCTGGCTCGCCCTTGGTGGGCTTGGAGGTGGGAGTCTCTCTTTGGTTTGCCCCTTTCTGTGTTCAGAAAAAGACAAGGGAAAGCAGGTGAGGGAGAAAGTAGAGAGGGAGGTGACTGGTTCTCTGGGGATGTTCTGTGACAGTGTGACAGCCTTGCCTGACACGCAGACACTCAGATGTTCTCTGACACCGACGTGAATAAGAGAGAACTTTCTCCCTTTCTTACTCTGACTCAAGTTACCACACCCAGGTCTCCTCTCTGCGGCCCACACCCCGAGCTCCAGCCTTGATCTGATTGTACGCATGGTGTTGAGTGATGGTGACATCACAGCTGCTGGTTACTGGGCTCTTGATCAGTGGACATGCCTGCTCTTGTGTCACCATAACCACTCTCAGTTTTAGTTTCCTCCCCATCACGGTGACAGTGGTCCTTCCCCAGCGGGTGGTTGTGTAGATTATGGGATAGCCCATAACAAATGGGGCTCACATGATCTCCATTGTACAGATGAAGAAACTGAGGTTTGGAGTAGGCAAGATTTTTCCAAAGTCCCACAGGGATGTTAGAGCCAGGGAGCAAGGCATGACCCCCAAGGCCTGTGTTCTTAACCGCCACACTGTTGGGGCTTGACTGGGAGGGCGGTGGGAGCCAGTGAAGGCGGCGGTGCACACAGTGGTAGGCTAGGAAGCCAGAGCTGGGGCAAGCTGTGAAGGCCACCACAGTGGGGAGACAGAGGCTGGGACCCACCTCGGGGAGTGGCTGCTGGTGGAGCGTGCCTAGCTTCAGCAGGCTATCCCAGAAGCGCCGCACCGTGAGCCCCACGGACATGCAGGGCCCCGTAGCCCGTGCAGGGGGCATCATCTGCTCGGAGCCAAGGTTCTCCAAGTAGCTCATGCAGCTTTGAAGCAGCAGCAGGAGCCTGCGGGCAGAGATGCCAGGTTGCTGGGGCCCAGGCTGGTGCCAATACACCCTCAGACCATACAACTGCAGCTCTGGCTCTGCGGAACTGGCCCAGACATCAAGGGCTTGGAGAGTCTCAGAATATGCTCTGCTGGGCCAGCTTCAAACCTAACCCAGGGGTTACTTCCCCCAGGAAGCCCTCCCTGGCCACAACCTCAGCTTGGGAGCCTCTTCTGCATCTCCTGGGTGGGACTTCTGCCTGGCTCTTCTCCACTGGACCAGGGAGCTCTGTGAAGCCAGGCCTGGCCTTGCCTCAGTTGTATCCTGAGTCCTTGAAAAGTTCTGGGTGCCTTACATTCATTCAGTGGCCCAGAGCCTCCACCTGACAGATGACAGAGCTGAGACCCAGAAAGGGGAAGAGCCTGCCCACAGCCACAGGTTGATGTGCCGGGCGTGGCAGTGGGTACCTGTAATCCCAGCTACTTGGGAGGCTGAGGCAGGAGAATCTCTTGAACCCAGGAGGTAGAGGTTGCAGTGAGCTGAGATCACACCACTGCACTCCAAGAAGAGCGAAACTCCAGGAAAAAAAAAAAAAAAAAAAGGCATGCACCAACACACCCAGCTAATTTTAAAAATATTTTTGTACAGATGGGGTCTCCTTATGTTGCCTAGGCTGGTCTTGAACTCTCAAATGATTCTCCCATTAACCTCCCAAAATGCTGGGATTACAAGTGTCGGCCACCGTGCCTGGCACACCATCTTAACTTTATTTTTATTTTCACTTTTTTTTTTGAGAAACAGTCTTACTCCATTACCAAGGCTGGAGTGCATTGCCGTGATCTTGGCTCACTGCAACCTCTGCCTCCCAGATTTAAGTGATTCTCATGCCTCAGCCTCCTGAGTAGCTGGAAATACAGGAACGCACCACCACACCCAGCTAATTTTTGTATTTTTACTAGAGACACGGTTTCACTATGTTGGCCAGGCTGGTCTTGAACTCCTGACCTCAAGTAATGCACCCGCCGTGGCCTCCCAAAGTGCTGAGATTACAGGCATGAGCCACCGTGCCCGGTCAACCATGTTAACTTTAATGATAGCTTAGAAGTGATGGGGCTGCAGGAGAATCCACAAGGCTCTTCTCAGCGGGTCAGGATTTGGAAAAATACATCCCGTCTCTGGCCTTGTGATATGTAGAGGGAACAGCACAACCCACAGGACAACAGGAAAGAGAGGCCGGGATGGAAACTCTGAGAAGCAACTATGGGGTCCCCGACACAGAAACCCTGAGGAGGCAGCTGGGAGCAGCTGAGAGACCGTGGTCACAGATGTGGTGCCACAGAGACCGATGGAGTGGAAATCAACTGCCTGAGGTGGACAGGCTAGGAGAGCCTAACACGGGATAGCACAGCACACAACACAAGACAAACGATAAAAGGTAAGACTACTTTGAAAGTCCTGAGCTGATGTGGCCCCGACAGGTACTCAATGGTGACTGTTGTTCCAACATCACTCCCGCCTCTGGAGGGGCTTCTGTAGCTGCCACTGGTTTCAGGGGCAGGTGCCGGCATCCTGAGATGACCAGGCTTGGTCAAGGCCCTCACCTGTCGATGACCAGCTCCAGCAGCACAACATGGGACAGCTGCGTGAACTCGGGGTCACCCGGAACATGGTCATAGTGCTCCAGCAGGGCCACCATGTCGAGGTCACAGGCCATGCGGTCAGGGAACTTCCAGGAGGGGAAGCGCACAGGCCCGGCGCGGGAGAAGACGTCTACGATGGCACCCTGCAGGTCGGTGAGGTCTGTGCGCAGGCTGTCCATGCAGGCCTGGCTGCCCAGCAGGTGCGCCATCCTCACAGCTCCTGGGGTGAGCACAGAAGAGCCCTGCCAGCCAGAGTCACGTGGCTGCTGCTAGAGGAAACTCCCTGAAACCCTCATCTGCCCAGGGGCTACTAGGCCAGAAGTTCACCCCAGACCCCGGGGAGAAGTCTGTTTCCCAGCCCCAGGTGACAAGGTCTTTTGGACCTGGTTCTGGGTGGCCTCAACAGCCTCTCAGTCCCACTACCCTGAGCACATACTGCAGAGTCCATCACTCCACAAGTCCTTCCTAAGGACTTACATACGTCGGGTCCCCTGCTCAAGGCTGGGTGGATACAGTTATGAACAAGAACATGCCTCTCATCCTTTCCTCCCAGAGTGAACCCTTGAACAGGGCACACACAACTGCGAGTTACAGCTACAGCGTGATGGGAAGTGTTGGGCCACACCAGGCCACTGTCATATCCTGCCTAGACCACTGCAGCAGGTTCCAGCTGGGTCACAGGGCAGGCCTCCAGAGATTTCCGCTCCAGAGATTTGGACCAAACTCTACTGGACCATGTCATACTGGCCACAATGCCTCGGTACTCCCTGTGGCCTATGGAAGAAAAGCCACCTCTGGACACATCCCTCGCTTCGCCTCTCTCTAGTCCCCTCCCCTCTACCTCATAGTCTTCCCTCCTACCACCATGAGCTACCAGTAGCAGCTCATGCACACGAGGCACTTGTTTCTAAATCCTCGCCCATCTGTCCTCTCTGTCAGAATCATGCTTCCCTGTCCAATTCCCATCACATGGCTAACTCCTCTCATCCTTCAGGGTTCCTGGATATCACCTCCTCCAAGAAGGCTTCCCTAACTACCCTCCATGCTGGCTTAGATACTCCCTCTGGGCTTCCCCCATCTCAGCTCTGATTGCTGTCTGCTGGAACGGCCTTCTCTCCGAGCCATCTTAGCCCCTGTGGTGTCCCCAGTGTGGCCAGCTGGGGACCTGGCCCACTGTAGATGCTCACTGGCAAATAATGACTGAGTGATTGAATGGAGAAAAGAAAAAGAATTGCAAAGAAAATTTAAAATGCACTTGACTTCTAAAGTGCAAGAGAGAAAAACGTGAAAACTTGCATTGAGACCTATTGTCATCACTCTGGTGATAGGGAACCCATTATATATATGTACGTTTTTTGTTTTTTGTTTTTTGTTTTTTGAGATGGCGTCTAGCACTGTCGCCCAGGCTGGAGTACAGTGGCGTGATCTGAGCTCACTGCAGTCTCTGCCTCCTGGGTTCAAGCGATTATCCTGCCTCAACCTCCCGAGTAGCTGGGATTACACATGCCCGCCACCACGCCCGGCTAATTTTTGTAGTTTTAGTAGAGACAGGGTTTCTCCATGTTGGCCAGGATGGTCTTCTGACCTCAAGTGATTCACCCACCTTGGCCTCCAAAAGTGCTGGGATTACAGGCGTGAGGCACCACACTCAATCCCATTATATATATATTTAAAACAATTTTTGTTTTTACTGATGCATAATAGATGTCCATAGTTTCAAGGTACCTAGTTTCAGAATTACTTAATACATATATAATTTGTAAAGATCAAATCAGTGTACTTTGAATATCCATCACCTTAAATTTGTCTTTCCTTTTTTCCTTTTGTTTTGTTTTTTGAGACATAGCCTCTGTCACCCAGGCTGGAGTGCAGTGGAGCCCTCACAGCTCACTGTAGTTTCAACCTCCTGGACTTAAGTGATTCTCCTGCCTCAGCCTTCCAAGTAGCTGGGACTACAGGTATGTGCCACTATACCTAGCTAATTATTTATTATTTTTGGGGGGGTAACATCTTGAACTGGCAATTTAAAAATTTTTTTGTAAAGATGGGATCTCACTGTGTTGCCCAGGCTGGTCTCAAACTCCTGGGTTCAAGCAGTCCTCTCTGAAAGGCTTGGCCTCTCACAGTGCTGGGGTTATAGGTGAGAACCACCACACCCAGCCTGTCTTTTTTTCATGCTAAGAAACATTTGAGGCCGGGCACAATGGCTCACATCTGTAATCCCAGCACTTTGGGAGGCCGAGGCGAATCACCTGAAGTCAGGAGTTCAAGCCTGGCCAACATAGTGAAACCCCATCTCTACAAAAATACAAAAATTAGCTGGGCATGATGGCGGGTACCTGTAATCCCAGATACTTGGGAGGATGAGACAGGAGAACTGCTTGAACCCAGAGGTGGAGGCTGCAGTGAGCCGAGATCGCGCCATTGCCCTCCTGCCTGGGTGACAGGGCGAGACTCTGTCTTACAAAAAAAAAAAAGAGAAACATTCTATTTATTTTCTTCTAGCCATTTTGAAATGTACAATAGGTCAGTATAAACTAGTCACCCTACTGATCTATTGAACACTAGGACTGCTGCTACGTTTTTATGCAGAGAATCCCAGTCCTGCCCCTTCCTGGCCTCAGAGAAGTCACCGAGGCCCAGTTGTAAGATGGGGACATTGTCTCCAAGCAGGCCAGGTTGTTGTGAAGGCGTTAAAGGGATCATGAGTAAGGTGCTTGGTCCAATGCAAGGGACCAGTAAAAGTTCTCAACCAATATTAACTATTTTTATTATGAATAGTAGTATTAGCAGTAACCACAGTGAAGTCCATCCTTGTCTTGTGTGGGTGCCTGGCTCCCGTTCTTCCCCAGTTCCCCTGCGGCCCACACAGAATGCTTCTGGTCCATCTTCTGCCACCTGTGGACATCTGAAAGTGGTGATCTGAACATTCTGTGACCCTTGACTCAGAAAGTGGAGAAGCGAGACACTGCCCGGGTCCCTCCTGTGGCTTGTCACCCTCCAGCAGGGCTGGGGTGTGAGTTGGCAGCTTGTTTCAGATCCAGCATTCTGCTGGGAGTCAGGCAGCTATGCGGATGCTGAGCTCCAGCTCCTCTCCACCTGCCAGCAGGGGCCCCTTGTCCTTGGTGAATTTCTCAGTGCACGAAGTACCTCCTTGCACTAGCCCCTCCCTGAAGCAGGGGCTGCTTGGGCAGCATTTAGGCCATGGCCCCTTCTGCCTCCAGCAAGTCCAGGCCTGGCTGAAAAACTGTTCTCCCAAACCTAACCTCCCCATCAACCTCCCTCATCTCAGAAAATGACATCCCACTGAGTGTACCTGGCTTGGCCCTAGCCTAGGCATTTCCTGAGTTCCCTCTTTCCTCTACCCCCATGTCCCAGGACCCAGTGCTGCAGATCCTACATCCAGACCACACTGGGAACCCAGCATTTCTCTCCATCGACACTGCTCCTACCCCATCATCTCCCGAGACACTGCCAGAGCTTCCCTGAGGGATCAGCCACTTCTCTTCTGCCCTGTACCACCTGGTCCCTCTTGGTTGTACATGGCAACCAGAGTGATTGTTTAATAAGGCAACCTACCCCTGCTTGGAGCCTTTTCCTCTCTTTCTACAGCACCAAGACTGGAATGCTTCCTGGGGCTCCTGCCCTGTGTGGCCTGCCCCAGCTTCAGTGTCTCCCCACCCAGAACGCGCCCCTCCCCAAACTTCTTCTAGATAAGACACCTCCCTCAGGCCCCCCCGCCAAACATCCCTCCTCAGGAAAACTCCCCAGGGCCCCAGGTCGGGCGAGGTTCCCTGTCACACATTCTCAGAGCATCCTGTTCTTTTTCTTCCCAGCACACACCACCGCCAGAATGGAATCATTATTTGCGAAGTTATTTGTGGTTGGCAGCCTGTCTCCCTGTGAGCGTGTGGTATGACCTGGTCACCTGGGCTGAGAGGACTCAGGGCCAGCCTGTGCCCACAGGTGCTGGGAAGCTCAGAGGCACTCAGGGGAAGGGTGGTGGACTCTTCAACCTCCCAGAGGACGGGGCCCTCTCCTTACCTCTGTGCAGGTGCCTGCCCGTGGAGCTGGAGTGACTGAGTGTCTAGTTCTCAGATGAGCCTGTGGGTCAGAGGCTCATCCACGTGCCCGGCTTCCTGTCTCCAGTGCAGGGTTGGCCCTGAGCAGCTCTTCAGACCCTGGGAAGGGATGACAGGGACAGTGAGTGAAAGCACAGTCAGGCAGGGCTTTCTGGGAGCAGGGTGGAAGGCTATCCAGGAAGAAGGGGTTCCAGGCTGGAGGAAGGAGGTGAGAGAAGGGGCAGGTGGGCTGCCTGCCTCCAGCCTGAGCAGAGGGCACTCTTCAATAGTGCTGGTTCGACTGAAGAACTACTGTGTGCCACTTCCCTGAATCTGCCTCATTTCTACAGAGGAGGAAACTGAGGCTCTGAAAAGTTAGGGAGCTTGCCCGAGGTCTCTCAGGAAGCTGAGATTCTGAGTCCACCATCTCTGCTCTGTCCTCAGGCCATGCTACTTCTAGAGCAGCAGTGTCTAAAAGAAATATAATACAAGCCACACATGGGATTTTAGGTTTTTCTACTAGCCACTGATGGGGTACAGGAAATGCTACCCCAAGATATGGCACCTTAGAAATGCAAAAAACTGCAGAAGCAGGATGGCCACTCTCATCTTCCCCTCATCCTTCTTCTCTGAAGCAGGCCGCCAGGAAGGTCAGTCTGTGACCTCTCCCCTCCTTCTCCCCTGAAGACCCTCATGTGACAGGCGTCCTGCCCTATACCCAGATGGGGAGAAATGTCACACAGGAACACCAAGAAGAATCTGAGCAAACAGGCCTTGCTAAATCCACGCCCTCCCTCATTTTATTACTGATCTATGTTTTTTTTTTTAGATGGAGTCTTGCTCGTCAGGCTGGAGTCCGGGGCGCAATCTCAGCTCACACAACTCCGCCTCTTGGGTTCAAGCAATTCTCCTGTCCCCAGCTCCTGAATAACTGGGAAAGGAAGTGATGCCCCATGCCCGTTTCTAATTTTTGTATTATGTATTATTTTGAGACAGAGTGCTGCTCTGGTCGGCCAGGCTGGAGTGCAAGTGGGCATGATTTGGCTCACTACAACCTCTGCCTCCTGGGGCTCAAGAGTTCTCCTGCCTCAGCCTTCCAAGTAGCTAGGATTACAGGGGTGTGCACCAGCCTGCTAATTTTGTATTTTTGGTAGAGATGGGGTTTACCATGTGCCAGGTTTGGTCTGAATCCCGACTCGTATCCACCCACCTTGGCCTACAAGTGCTTGGATTAGGGTGAGCCACCATTGCCGCCTTCATATTTTTTTTTTTTATTTTTTTGAAAGGGAGGTGTCGCTCTGTTGCCGCGGGAGGTGCGTGCGTGTCTTGGCTCCCCATCACAACCGCACTTCCTGTTAAAGTGTTCCTGCCCCTCAGGCCTCTGGTAGGCTGGGACTACAGGACGTGCCAAACGGTGGCATTTTATTTATATTTTGTGGTGGAAATGGGTTTTCACCTATTGTTGGCCCAGGTGTCCTCAATACTCCTGACTCATGATCGGCCTGCCTCAGCCCTGTCCAAAATGCTGGATTACAGGTGTGGACACCGACCCGCCACTTTTGTATTTGTTTAGTGGAGACGGTGTTTCATCTATTGGTGCGGCTGGCCTCCAACTACCTGACCCTCCGGTGATCCACCCCCTCCTTGGCTCCAAAGTGCTGTGTTTACAGGTTGGAATACCGTGCCCCCAGGATTATCCTTTGGTCCACCAATCATAATTCTGCACACTGTCCATAAAAACAGATCTCCTTGTTTCTTTGGGTTTTCATTTCTGAAGGTTTCCATGTCAGGGAACACTTTTATAAAATACATTTGTATGCTTTTCTCTTGTTAATCTGTTTTTAAAATTTTACTTCATTTATTTATTTTTTAGAGACAGGGTCTCACTCTGTCGCTCAGGCTGGAGTACAGTGGTGCTATCATAGCTTACTGTAACCTCGAACTCCTGGGCTCAAGTGATCCTCCCACCTCAGCCTCCTGAGTAGGTAGGACTACAGGTGGGTGCCACCACACCTGGTTAATTTTTTTATTTTTTGTAAAGACAGAGACTTGCTATGTTGCCCAGGCTGGTCCTGGCCTCTTGGCCTCTGGCCTTGTCCTCTCAAAATGCTGAGATTATAGGTGTGAGCCACTTTAATCTGTCTTTTATTAAACTTGCAATGAGTGAGGAAAAGATATTACTTTTTCTCCCCTACACATTAAAAAGAGTAAAAAAAAGAGTCAATTTTAATAGCATATTTTATTTAACCCAATATACCCAAAACATTACCATTTCAACATACCAATATAAAATTATTAAGATTTTTAACATTTTTATGGTATTAAGTCTCAAAATCGAATGCCTGTTTGACAACACATGGCCATTTGAACCAGAAACCATTTCAAATGTTCAAAAGCCGTATCGGCTGGTAGGTACTGTACTGGATGGTGCAGAGGGTCGGATGCTGTGTGTGCATTCAGTAAATGAGGACTGAGTATCTATTCCATGCCAGGCACTATGGCAAGACCAGGAACACATCAGGGCACAAGGAGCCCTGTCCTCCAGGAACTACCAACGATATCTGAGGGTCTCTGCAAGGGGTAAGCTTGTGTGTGCCAGTTTCACCCATGGGATATCACCCAAGTGATACGTGTCTGCCCCATGACATTCACAATACACATGCCCACATCTCACACTCCTGTTGTCTTGGCAGCTGCCTCTCATGAACTACTGCTGCCCAAGAGATTTTATGTCTCCAAGGAGGGAGGCAGAAACAAAGGCAAAATAACACATGGAAGTATTCTGGGTTTCCTTCCTGAAAAGAGCATGAAGGAAATAAAGCAATCAAGAAGTCCCAACCTGGGAGGAAGTGTATTCAGGTGGCAAAGCACCTGGAATTCATAAGTGTGCTTGTGAAGGCACCAGGAAACACTGATCTGTTCATCTTCAAATAACTACAGCTGCCCTATGGGGCAATTTTGGATATCAACTCCCACTAGATCCTGGTTCAGTTAAGCAGCAGCAAATGCCCAAGTTCAGGAAAATCCAAGATGACCTTATGTTGCTTCTTCTGAAAATTCAAGTCATGCAGATACAAGCATGGTTTAAGAAGTACTTACGTGCGGCCGGGTGTGGTGGCTCACGCCTGTAATCCCAGCACTCTGGGAGGCCGAGGCGGGTGGATCATGAGGTCAGGTGATCGAGACCATCCTGGCTAACACAGTGAAACCCCGTCTCTACTAAAAAATACAAAAAATTAGCCGGGCATAGTGGCAGGCGCCTGTAGTCCCAGCTACTCGGGAGGCTGAGGCAGGAGAATGGCGTGAACCCAGGAGGCGGAGCTTGCAGTGAGCCGAGATTGTGCCACTGCACTCCAGCACTCCAGCGCCTCGTGGCACAGAGAAGACTCTGTCTCAAAAAAAAAAAAAAAAAAGAAAGAAAAAAAAGAGTGACTTACATGCATGTCAAGTGAAAAGCACTTGACATGAGCTCTCTGTAATTCCTCACTCTTGAGTGGAACCCTCAGCTGAGGCTGCCAGCCTGCACTGTACCCAGGAACACCATAGGTGACTGCACTAATTGAACCCTTAGGAAGGAGCAGCAGCTATCTCTGCCTCTCCTCAATTTCTGGGGGCTCAAGGCGGACTTTTGACTCCAGGAGAGAGCAGGAGCCTTTCTACACTTCCGTTCAACATTCCAGCGCCTTCTCTAAGACCTGAGTACCCTAAACCTACTGGTAAAAATGACGCCTACTTCCCAGCCAGGTACTGCTGAGATTCAAAGTCACCCACCACGCGAAAACATGGGGAAACTCTAAAACCAGCTATGTGGCAGATGCCAGTCTCAAACATGAGATTTGTTAATTGCGCTGGATCCCTGGGGACGGCTGAAGGGGACTGAGGACAAAAGAATAAACTAACTGCACTAGTAGAGAATAAGACTGGCTTGAGTTGCTTCCCACTCTACCAACTCCAAACTTCACTGTCCTCATTTGTAAATAGAGGTTGCTATAAGGAATAAATGACGTAATAATGAAGTGTTGGGCACAAGGATCCGGCTCATAGTAAATGACCAATACATCTAGCTATCATTATTCTACATTAATAACAACCATGGACACACAGCTACGATGTGTGCGGGGGAGGGGGAAGACTTGGAGAGAGCAACCTTCCTATCATAGACTCCCTCATTTCACAGGGTGAGGAAACTGAAAGCCAGGCAAGGCTCCCAGCCAGCCTCCGGGCTTTCCGGAGTTGAGGAGGGGAGGAGGGGGGGATCTCAGGAGGAGGGATGAGAAAGCCAGCAGGATTCGGAGGTAGGCTCTGGGGAGCGAGCCTGCAATAGCTTGCAGGGGCGCACCTGTGGAGTGAGGGGTGAAGCCTAAAGCAGCGCCCTGAGTGAGCTCATCGGTGTGAACCCAGCACTTTGGGGGCCAGGTGGGAGGACTGCTTGACTCCATGAGTTTGAGACCAGCCGTGGCAAACATAGGGAGACGTCCTCCCACCTCCTACAAAAAAATTTTAAACTGGCGGCGGCGGGTGGCTCAGGCTGTAACCCTAACCTAACCACTTTGGGAAATGCGAGGCGGGAGGATCATTTGAGGTCAGGAGTTCGAGAACCAGCGCTGGCCACCGTGGTGAAACCCGGTCTCTTACCAAAACACAGCACCCACACACACACACACGGCCGGATGTGGTGGGCGCCTGTAGTCCCAGCCACTCGGGAGGCTGAGGCAGGACAATTGCTTGAACTCAGCGATTGAACTCGGGAGGCGGAGGTTCCAGTGAGCCAAGATCGCGCCACTGCACTCCAGCCTGGGTGACAGAACAAGACCTTGTCTCAGAAAAAAACAAAAAAGAAAAAGCAGCAGCCTTGATTTGACAGGGAGGCCCCAGTGGGGCTTGAGATCGGGACTACGGAAGGCAGGGGGTGGAAGCAAGAAAAGGCAGGCCTATGGGAAAAGGGAATTAAGGGCGTAGGATTTGGAAGAGCGACTTGGAGGATGTGGGCCTGAAATGAAAGGAGGGACTAAGGGAATAGGGAAGCGGGGCTCTCAGGCGGCGAGCCTGAGGGCACAGGGGCTCTCCGAAATGAGAGGCCAATGGGAGGGAGCTGGGCTCTTGGAAGGCGGTGTCGAAGGGAGCGAGGCACTGGCACTGAGCGAGGCACTGTAGAGTAAAGGAGGCGCGAGCTGAGTGCGGCGGGGGTCCGGCGGGTGACGTAGAACATCTCACCTGTCTTCGGCGTCGCAGTTTCAGCCTCTGTATCCGGTCGGCTCCGGGAACTGCCCCCGGCGCGCCTGCGGCTCCCGGGAACCCCGGAAACCCCTAGCCCGGCGCTCCAGCCGCTGCCTTGACAACGGCGTCGGACGCCGCGGTGCCCGCGGGGTGGAGCAGGAAGCGCGCCACGGCGAGGGGGCGGTCCCGGAAGTGCGTCAGTCTTACCTTCGCGGCCACAACTCGCTCGACTGCCGCCATTTTGCGAGCTCGTCGTACTGTTCGAGCGGGGAGGCTGTCCTGAGGCGGCACTCCTCACCGACACCGAGGCGGACTGGCAGCCCTCAGCGTCGCAGTCATGCCGGCCGGACCCGTGCAGGCGGTGCCCCCGCCGCCGCCCGTGGCCACCGAGCCCAAACAGGTACCTCTCCCCCGCCCCTCAACCTGCAGCCGGAGCGTGGGCCTGGGCGCTACTTACTTGAGCGGGAATAAGCGGCCGCTATGAAGGGCTTGGAGGGACTGCAAGTCCCAGGAGGCTGCGCGCTTCCCGCGCTATGGTGGTGGTTCTGGTAACGAAACCAGCTGCCCTGAACGGGGTTCTCAAAG